CACGCGCCGCGCGCGACCTTGTCCTTGAAAAGTTCAAGGTCGTCACGGTAGAGCGCGGGCGGCGTGCGGGTTCAGCGCGCTCTCAACGTCGACGCGCCGAAGCAGGCGCAAGACGACGGCCGAGGACGTCGCGGGACGTGTCGCGGTGGCCGCCGCACGCCGCGAACGCGCGCGCCACGTCGAGCGCGCCCGTGGCGGCGTCGACCAGCGGGTGGAAGGGCGGCGGGGCGAAGACGACGCGGGGCGGTGCGTCCGGGTACGCTGCGGGGATGTCGAGCGTGAAGCGGTAGGCGCCGCCGCGGTACAGCCCCGCGCGCGGGAACGCAACGCCGTGCCACGTCGCGCACGACTGCTCCGACGGAATCACGTAGATGCCCGGAAGGGGGCGCCGCTGCACGAGGCCGTACTCGGCGATGAGCGCGTACTCGCGGAGGTAGCTGTTGTTGGGGGCGCCACTAGGAGGTGGGGAGGTGGGGCTGGGCGCGCAGGACTTGCTGCCTGTTCGCAGCCGCGGCGGGCGGCTCTCGAGTCTGCTGTTCATTCCGTGGTTGCTAGAGTTTTTCGATGACGTCACCTAGTCTGGCAAAATTTGGTAGTCTGGTCACGCGTTCGTGGGAACATACCAGGTGGATATATGTTCAGACCTTTTGTTCTGGAACAATATCAGTGAATCGTGATCTCCGTCGTTCGTGTAGAGCTTGCAGTGGATTGATGAATTACAGCTCGAACAGATGGTTGTTTATAGCGCCAATGTACAACGTAATGGCTGACATCGTAAACACGTAAACACTGCCCATCGGCCTGTTAGCGACATCTGGTGTGCGCGAATGCAAACTATATGTGCCCACTGAATTCTACGGTGGCTGATTAGTGCGCTGCAGCGCGGAATTAAATGTGGTGTGCCTTGAATCGTAACAATAAGAAAACTCAAAGGCAGTGCTGCAGAAGGAACTGTAGAAAGGAACTGTATTGATAGCAGTATCAGCATAGTAATTGATTGCTCGACTTACCCTAACCTTCTCTATAACCTTTGTGTAATCTTTTAGTAATTTACAGATTGTGCTACAGCAATTTTTTAACTATTTTCTAGTATCAGACTACATCTTTAACTGACATGAATCATTGGACATTTGCATTTACTTAGGTTCATGGGTAGAATTATATGAAAGACTTAAACCGCACCACCGCGTAAACGTCACATTAAAATATGACTAAATACTATATACTAGGAGAAAAGTTGAAGATGCCAATATAATCAGTGTATTATATTTCTTTATTGTGACAGTAATTATAATCATTTAAAATCTCCAGATTGTTATATAAAACAAGAATGTATATTCACAACCGCTCACCTTAACAATCTCTAACTGCTAAAATCTGGAAAATATATTTTCAGAAACAGAATATTTTCGTGATAAACGCTATCAAAGTGGTTAGTTTTTATACTGACAATATACATCATTTCTCTCGCGCGTCATCGGAAATTAAATTCTAAAAAAAAATTAGTAAAACGATTTTCGTCTATAACTAAAACCGATAGACCTTTGTGTGGGATATATATATAATCAACGGAACCTTGCGAGTGTCATGTCATCAGCTATCACACGTTTGACTACACGCGAAGTAGTTACAGTACAAACGGGCTCCCCCGCCTCACATACACACTACACACAATCAAATCTACGAATCTAGTGCACAACCGCTGATCGAGTATTCCGACTAAACCAGTCACTACACAATGGCAATTAAAGAGGGCCGGGGATGGTGGCCACAGTCTTCCATTAACATGATTTAAAGCCGTTGCATGAATTTTCTGTGCACGTGCATCTTTTACCGTATCTCAATGAGTCACTGATCAATAGCGTTTGAGAGAATAAAAAAAAAATCTTTTGATAGAGAACAAACGCGCGCACTAAAGCTTGTTAGCGAATCAATAATTCGAGGTTTAAGAAATGCTAATGATTATCCGGCCGTGGTGGGCGGCTGGCAGGTGGCATTGTTCTACTAGCACGCTCGGCAGACGTAAGAAAACCGTGAACGCATATTAAAATGCGTGATAAAATCGTGTACACTTGCGCGCTCTGGCTGCCCGACCCCGCCTGCCAACGAACGCAATCCAGTGTCGCTACGACGTACACAAAAGCCGTGCTTGGTAAAATAATAAATGATAAAATCTGTGCTGGTGTATATATATACCATGGACGGTGGCGGCGGCCATGTTTTCGCCACCGTCTCTACCTCTCACATCCGTCCCGTAGTGAATAAAATCGTAACCCATCTGTTAAAAGCTGCCAACCCAGACACACAGGAGACGGGGCGAGACGAGTCGTCAGCGTTGCCGCGGCAACGTCGTTCTCGCCTCTGCGCTCACTAACGAAACACGCATAATTGTGGACACGCACACAACTAGGCAACCGACGGTGGCGTCTGCCTCCACTGCCAACCCCCGCTACGTGTACACTCTACCGACAACAAACTACCAATACAATAATCATCATCATCATCATCATCATCATCCTCATCATCATTGTGCCTCTAATAATAATACATGACGAGGCCGCGTGTGCACACGACGTGAAGTCGAATCGTGACGTATGCACACGCGGTCCATCGGTCGTGCATTGGCGACGGCTGCGTCGTCGTGGCGACAGCCGAGTCGCCACGACGACGGCGTACGTCGTTCGTCTCTCCAACCTAGACTGTACAGTGTATTAACATCGTTAAATTGGCAACCTAATAAAAAAGAAAACGACCGAACAACCGTACGCCGCAAGCAGCAGTCGTCAGCGACGACCGAGGGAAGAAAAAAACATGGCTGCCATTGCTACTCGACCGCGTGACTCTCGGATGCGATTGGTCGCGACGCCACTTGTTTCTTGGCGACGCTCGCCGCCAATACGACCCTCGGGAATAATTTGCGGCGGCCGGCTGTCGAGGAGTCGGTTTCCCGCAGCAACGGAACGGCGGATTAACAGCAGGTGGCGCCACGCTACCACTTCACCGGTCAACACTCCCCCGCGGTTAAGCCTCAGGGGGAAAACCCGCAAAATTGCCCGCAGTTCGGACATCGAACGAACGCAGCCTAACCCGCGGCGGCGACACACCCCTCACCCACACCCCGCGATTGTCGACCGCACCTCCCCCCTCCCCCCCTGGTCGTGGCGCGCGCATCACAGTTTCTCCTTGGACGGTACCCAGATCCTGGGTCCGCTCTGGTCGCGGATGACCTGCTTGACCTCCGTGTAGATGTCGTCTGCCGTGTCGCCGGTGACGACGGCCGTGAAATACTCGCCGAACTCCTGCTCAAGTCTCGCGCTGCGCTCCATCGTCCTCGCCGCCTGCTCCTCCGTCATGCGCTTGTTCATCTCCATCAGCGAGTCCTCCGACTTCGGCTTGATGAAGATGGCGATCGGGTACAGCGACGCCACCTGGCGGGGAAGCAGAGCGGAGAACGGTTTATGGGGGAGCGAACTCGGTGGAACGCGGTTGTCTTTGTGCGCCGTGCGTTAAACCGAGAGCGCTTAGGCAAGGTTGCCGCTACTGGAGCGGATGCATGACGGTCGGGTAAGAGCAGTCTGGTGTTCAAACGAGACCAGGTTCCGAAACGGAATCCGTCAAAGATGGAAGTAAGAATTCGTGTAAACGTTTAAGAATAATATGAGTCAAGTTAGGGTTAGGGTTTCAAGTTTCAACAATCACCCCTACGAGATATTTGTGGGAATTGGTGGGAATACATAGTGCGTTTATAATATATACTATCTGCTTAATTGGGTTGAACTGCTAGCCTAGTCAGTCGTCAGTGCAGAGCAGGAAAACGGTAATTTCCGGAGGAAACTTAAATAAAGGCGAGACCACGAAAGAAGAACTAGAGAAGCGAGAAGCAAATCTCCGAAGAAGAACCTCTGTGCATCTAAGTGCAGAGAGGGAAAAGACAACAATTCGATAAGCCTGGATTAACTGTAAACACAGTACGAACTGTGTTGCTCGAAACCTTCTTCCCACCAAAGGTGGATACCACAGCAAAAAATGAGAATTTCCAGACGTAAACTAAAACGTGGAGAGACGCAGAGGCGAGTCACTCCCTCCACGCCGCTGGTCGCCGCGGCGACGCCGACTCACCTGCAGTCGTTTGATGGCGTTGGCGCTCACGTCAAGGATGCAGTATTTGCCGCTCTCGGCGACCTCACGCACAGAGGCGACGCTTGTGCCGTACAGGTTGTCATTGTACTGCCCTGCCTCAATGAACAGGTGGTTCTGAATGTCACGCTCCATCTGCTCTCCTGCAAAGTAAAGACACGGTGAAATACAGACAGTAGACGCCGTGAAATAAAGACACCGCGAAGTAAAGACAGCGCAAAGCAACGAGCGTGTGCGTGAAAAGTCCGCAGTGATGGTCGAACTACTGTAGGACGTAATCTAATGTGTGAGCATGATAGGTAGTGGGGTCATGACCGAGTGTAACGGGGTGCATCGCCCGAGAACGGGGCGGTTACGTTAGCACGGCGCATCGTTGTGAATCCACACGAGCTGTTAGTTTGCACAGCGGGGGATGACAGTGGAAAACGAGTCAACTAAAGGCGGGCAGCGAACGGGAAACGAACAGGGTAGTTATGTTTTAATATGGTCCATCACTGTGAATCTGTACCAATAACGGTAGCAGGAGCACAGTAGTGGCGGGAGCTTAGCAGTAGTGGGAGCGCAGTATGTACCGAAGCGCACAGTACTCAGTCCACACAGTACGCGGTACAGAAGCGGGTGGGTAGCGGTAGCGTAGTCGTACGTACGTGAGGCGACAAAATGGTAGTCGCGTCTGTCCGCCTCGTAATCGCGCTTCTGCCGTGTGGTGTGTGGCACACAGCTGCCGAACTTGTCCGAGAAGTCCGTGATGAGATCGTCGTTGATACGGTCCTTCAACGGGCCAAGAATCACCACCGGTCGCGTGTACCTGTGAACACACAGGAACAAACATCAGCTAGGATTCAAAATATACGAAAAAAAACTATCTACTTATCCTCCTTATTTATCTTCTATCATACTGGACCGTCATCTTCATCCATATGGACCGTCGGATGTACGTGTATCCTATCTCTCGTATGGTATCATTTGACGCACACATTTAAGGTGCACCCCTACAGCTATATATCATGAATTACCTGTAATAATGAAGACCCCCTGTGGACACATATAAGCAATGCTCACTCGTACGATTTGCGACGCGACATTTTGCGCCGCACGAATTTTTGTGAATCAACACAGTGACCGTTGCTAGTATTACATTTTGTAAGATGGCGGCAGCGCTTACTTGAGCTCCTGCTGGGTGACGGTCTCATACGACAGCACAGCGTCCTCCTTTGCCGGCGACGACTCATCCGCCATGTCGGTCGTGTCGTCCTCAGACTCCTTCCCCTTCTTCGCGAACGAGAACTTGTGGCCCTTCTTCTTCTTCTGCTTGCCGTCGAGGGTGCCGCCGCCGCTGCTGCTCGCCGGAGCGCTCTTGCCGGAGAAGTTGACCTTCTTTAGGCGCGCGCGCTCCTTGCGTTCGACGCGCCGCTTGCTGGGGATGATGCCGATGCCTTCCTCCTCGCCGTCCACGAGCACCTGCAGTAGAGCAACGACACGGAGGGTGAGAGTGAGAGAGAGAGAGGGAGAGAGAGAGAGACAGGAGAGAACAGGAGACGAGCGGGGGTCCGCGGAGAGAGACAGAAAGAGATAGAGAGAGCAGAGACGCAGAGAGAGGAGATAGAGATGAGGGAGAAGAGAGAGAGAGAGAGAGAGAGAGGAGAGACGAGGCGAGAGAGAGGGGGAGAGGAGAGAGATGGGGACGAGAAGAGAAAGAGAGAGGATGACTGAGAGAGAGAAAGCAGATATAGATAGAGCAGAGAGAGATAGATAGAGAGAGAGAGAGAGGGCGAGGCGAGGGGCAGGGTGGGAGAGCGAGCGAGAGAGAGCAGATAGACAGTAGATAGAGAGGAAGAAGAAAGAACCGAGAAAGAGCGAATGAGAAAGAATCGGTCAACAAAGGATGAAAGGGGTGGGCAAAAAAAGCGAGTGGCATACACTTTGATTAGCAATACCATGTTAACTTCCCCCTTCCCCAATAAACCAGCAGCCACCCTCACTAACTTTCCCCCAGGGGGCGCCGCCGCCGCCGCTGCCGCCGCCGCCATCGCTCACCTTGCGCGCCTGCCACCACTCGTCGTCACTGGCGTTAACGACGTGCAGGATGTCGCCGTACTTGAACGGCAGGCCGCGACTCGGCAGGCCGCTGTCCTTCGCCGGGTCGTAGTCGAAGAGCGCGCGCACGTACACGGAGCGCTTCTGCGACGTGCGCAGGCTTCCCGTGCTTGTGCTGAGCATCTGCTCGCGCAGCGTGTGGATCTTCGCCTCGAATCGGTTATAGTCCTCGGGCCGGTATTGCGACACGATCTCCACCTGCGAGGGGAGAGATGGGAGGCTGACAGGGTAAAAAATACATGGGAGCGATGAGCGATTCGCTCTTCAAACCTCCGAAATCCTGCGAGGCTCAAAATAGCTCCCGTAACATTTTTGACGAGAGCTATTTTTTCCATACACTTTTGAAAAAGAGCTCCCATGAAAAAAAGTTATTTTTCCCCTGGAGGCTGAGCATAGTGAGTGCATGATCACGCTTCATGTGATCGTGAGCATTGCTCTTACGTTGTGTTTTATGCAGGAGTTTTGAGTGATTGCAGAGAGTGTAGCAAGTAACACTTACAGCTGTTGCTCGTCGGGTTTACCTGACCTTACCTGACATACTTTAGCACCTGAGCTGACCTGTCACCTGACATACTTTAGCACCTGAGCTGACCTGTCACCTGACATACTTTAGCACCTGAGCTTACCTGTCACCTGACATACTTTAGCACCTGAGCTTACCTGTCACCTGACATACTTTAGCACCTGAGCTGACCTGTCACCTGACATACTTTAGCACCTGAGCT